CCGCCTCCACCGCCACCACCACCACCACCGCCGCCGCCGCCACCGCCACCTCCACAGAGGCCACCACCACCGCCACCGCCGCCTCCTCCGCCTGGTAAGGGCTCAGGCATTGGGTATGGGAGGGCTGCAATGTACAAAAAGAAAGCAAAAATTATACATTCGAAATATTATTGCACGCAGTAATCTACATGTAAAAAATTATTTTATTTTTGCGTTTTTTTTTTAAATATGCATTTATTGTTTTCTATAATTATAAGCTAATCGAAATCATCTCAACTCACCGCTTACGGCCACAAATAAGGCAAGCAAGAAGCTAACAAATGCAAAGATTCTCATTTCGCGACTGCTGTGTGTAATCGTATGCGTTAAGCTGACAAACGAATCTGCTATTTATACCGAAATTCTGATTAAAAATTCGATGCTAAATAAGTGCTGTTCTGGGGGATTGTCCGCGCTGACGCTCATAGCAGTCGAGCGCACACCGGTCTTTGTTCATGTGAATTTCGTTGCATTTGTTGTTATTGTAATTGACACTGACGGGGTTATATTTCGCTTTGCAATCATTTTCACTTTTTTTTCTGTTCCACTTTGCCGGCTTCGTTGTGTTTTGAGGTTTCCCTGATTGAAACAAATCAATCGCAAGCAATTGGCAGCAACCGAAGGAAAGTGCAGAAAAACAAAAACAAAATAAAAATAATAATAAACAAATATAGCACTCAAGCATACATATATAAAATCCGTAAACACTCGCTCATATTTTAATACTAACAATAGTATTTAATTATCATCTTCTCAATAATCAACGTGATTTCCATTACCGCAATCCATTTCTTAAAGTAATCGGTTCCCTGTAAAGATGACATCCGATTAAGACAAAACACGTCGCCCGATCACTATAAAAGACCTATGCAAATGCCAATGCCACAACACTGTAATGAAACAGTCGCACTGGTCATACAGCTACCAACGCAATTAGATAGCTTATCAATCCAATACGTGCCTACCTGTCGACAATCATCATGAAAACTTTCACACTTTGCCTAATGGTTCTGCTTGGATGCCTCTTGATGTTCAGTCCAGTTTCGGCTCAATGGGGCGGGCGTGGTGGCCGTGGAGGCGATAGCAGCAGCGAGGAGAGCGGTGAGCGTGGTGGAAATGGCGGTGGTTGGTTCGGAGGGCGCGGTGGACGCGGAGGTGGTGGTTCACGTGGTGGATACGGTGGAGGTCGTGGTGGGGACTACGATTAGGTTGGCATTTCCCATCTACCGCAGTAGAAACAATACACTCGTAATAATGTAAAATACTATGTGAAATTACTAAATTGTTGGAACAAAAAGTAATAGTTTAGTTCGTATTTTTATTAATGGGCTTCTGTTGAAAATCGAGAAAATTGAGAAAACCTAATAAAACGAGAGGGTTATCGTTGACTGGAGGCTCTAGTGGAGGTACTGAGTATAGCTGATATACAAATAAGAGCTTCCAAAAATAGCGAAAACGACCTTCACATTTAGGTTAAGGTTTAGTAAGGCCGATGATTCCATATACATATACATATATGTATGTACAAGTATAAGCCACCTTCGATTTGCTACTTCTATGCACTGTATGTGAAAGCAACAACAAAGTTATCCACTTGAATGCAACACAAGATAGTATGAGGATATCTAAGGCACATCAAATAGGTAGCAGCTTTAGAGCAAATACAACAGGCTACGTGTATTTTGTTGTTGATTTGGTACTTTAAAATGTCAAAAAAATTACAATTCATTGACCACTTCCATTGAAATATATCAAAAATTGCAACCCTGCTGCTACTTATTCAATGTACCTTTGGAGGATACCTCATTAAAGCGGTCTAACTCGCTATGAGGTCTTCTCTGTATGCTCTCTATGAAGATATTAGACAAGTTATACTTTTTTGAATGGTTTACGTCAGTTGCTCGTTTGTTTCTCCACACTGGTAATGTCGGCGAATCGAAGACGGCTATACTCTCCGTTTTTCACAGTGGAACCAACGTTATCTGATTCAAGATCGAAATTAATAGTTTTAACCATTGGATCCATCGAAGCCTTTCTTTTTTTTGAACGAAATTTCGGTTGATGTTTTCTTTTATGGTGTGACGCAATTCATTTTACTGTTTTCAGCTTTATCTAGAAACATGTTCAGAAAAATAAATCAATAATCCGTGCCAGTTGAACAAGAAAAGTTTGGACTGCGAATCTTTGTATTAAATATCTTGACTGGCAAGCATGTCTTTTGATGTATAAAGACTGCTTCTATTGGTTTTTATTTGAGTGTATTGAGAATCAGTCAGTCTGAAAAGTATTTTTCTAGTAGGAAGTTCATGCGTACAGGCTGCAGATCTCCCAGTCATATAACCGGCGGATGTTTTGTAGGGTATGCTGTTTGTATGTATGTACATTAGGGTGCCCATCGAAAATGCTTTTTTTGGAAATATCAAGACCCAACCACCTAATTTTATTCGTTTTTTATGAGAAATATTATTGCCTATTTTTATAGATTTTTTAAAGGAAATTTAGAGGTCGCGACTTGTCGATTTAGGTCAGAAAATACGACTTTTTATATATGCATGTGTTTTTGAATGATTTCTAAGATCGAATATGATCTGAGAAGAGGATATACAGGCCTTTAAAATAGTATATAACAATCTATTCTCTTATTTTTTTTTATTTTTGAGCATCGATAATTTCCACAATTTCAAAATATGTAGTACTATCTAAAATTAAATATATTTTTAAATAAACTGCTAGCTCATTTATTGCAATCGCATAAAAATTTTCGAAGTTAGGCGGCTTTTCCTAAATACGGCCTTAAATTTATAATGTTTATTTACCGTACTTTCAGATTTTTTGAGCAGTGTGGCTAAAGAATTCATGAATATTAATTCAAAATTGATATACAATTAGGTCTATTTTTATGCGATTTTTTTGTGCGGATTTAAATTTTTTTCGCTTTAGCGATTTTGCTTTTTTGAGAGTTTTTATGCATTTTTTTGAGTGTCTAAGAGACAATGCTTCTGATAAATAATAAGTCTTTGTATTTTATATAATTTATGTATTTATTGTGGTATTTTTATTTTTTTTTTGTTAAAATACCGATACAATTTGTTTATTTCATTAATGTTCAGTTTTACATGGAATAATAAGAATTGAAGTGAAGAAATAAATGGTTTTTTTGCTTAATATTGCCCCACTGGATTTTTGTATGCGGTTTTTTAGAATTCTTTACACGAGGTATCTGAATTTATGCGGTTTTTGAAAGTGCTGGAACGCATCCCCTGTTTTTGTATGAAAGTAAAGAACTTTTTTATGCGACTTTCTGAGGAACGCATGTACCGCATAAAAAGAGACCTAAGTGTATACCATCGCTCTTTAGCAAACAAGTGGTTTTTCAAGAAATTTTAGGAAATTGTGGTGGCACACATTGTGTTTACCCTCTTTAAGCTCCGTCTTAAATATTTTTGAAATCGGACAAAAACCACGGGGTCCACCAACGTAACAGTAATT